GGGATGATCCTTGGAGCCCTTTTCCTGGGAGCTCCTCTCTGCTGTTCCCTTCCCCATCACAGAGTTACTTAAGGGGTAGAGGGTTCACCACCTGCCTTCCCTGCCCTTTTTCTCTACCAAGTAGGAGTCAAAATCCACAACTGGGATGGTCAGATATTGGGAAGGAATTCTTGGCTGGGAGGGTGGGGAGGCCCTGGCACAGGTTGCCCAGAAAAGCTGTGGCTGCCCCTGGATCCCTGGAAGTGTCCAAGGCCAGGTTGGATGGGGCTTGGAGCAACCTGGGACAGTGGGAGGTGTCCCTGCCCAACTTTAATGTCCCAAACCGTTCCATGATTGTATGAGACTGAGTTTGTGGGATCTTCCCCAAAACACCTGCTAAAATTCACAATGTGCAGTGAGCTAAATCAATAATTCACACAGCTCAAATCCCAGGGCTTTCTCTCCAAACTGGGAGCACTTTTAGTTCACTTGCCTGCTCTGCAGAAGAATATTTTTTGGTAAATTTATGTACGAGAGAAGGTGCTTAAAAATAGGATTTCTGTGTGAATCCGTGGGGTTTGTTCTTACAAGGATAAGTGGCTGAACAAAAGTGAACAGCCCTAACTCTCACATGAGGGTCTTCAGGAGGGATGTCAGAGAGACTCACAAAGGGGATGGGGAACCTCTCTCCTGAATCCAAGGGGGAGAGAAAGGCCTTCACACCAGGACTGTCAAGCTGTTGAGAACAGACATCTCAAAGAAATTCAAGTGCTTGGCTTGTAAAATGAATTTGGCCCCAAAACATCTCCAAATATCCCCAATATCTCCATTTCACCATTGCCCTGGGAGAGAAGAATCTGCCTAGAGACAACAGTCAAGTTTGGCATGAGCTGCTCAAAGCATTCCCATTTTGTCTCCTGATGTTTCTGATTTTAGTATTTTGTAATTTTATTACAATATACCTTTCCTTCAGCATTAAAAAATGCTTCCTGGCCCAAAAAAACCCCATAGAAAATAAATAATAGAAAGCTTTGCTATTTCCAAAGTAGTCGAAAATATAAAAGTCGGAATAGTTTAACTCCAAAATTCAAAAAATGCCAAGATTTCCAAAAAAGATTCTTTGGGAAAATCCCTGTAAAGACGTATTTCATGTTGCTCTTTTGGTGGGGAAAAAAATACCTTTTCTTTTTTTTGGACAAAGGTTATTTTAGAAGGTCAACTTTATGTTGGAGCAAAGCTTCTGGTATAACTTTCCATAAAACATATTAATACTGCAAAGAAATCTGGTGATTAATGCAGTGCTTTATGATTAATGTGTCGGAAAATGATTCACAGGTCTCTGAAATCAACACAAAAAATGCCATTTACCATTTTATTTTTCTCCTATTGATTTCAGTATAGGTTAGATTTTAACTTTCAGGCTTTCCCAGCAGGAAACCAACCCTCACAATTGTTTCAGACAAAAAGAAACAACCTGTTCTTAAATAGGAAGTCACTCTGGTTGTAATATCATTACTGGGGGTAGGACAGAATGTTTGCCTGCCCCTCTGTGGGGTCTGGAATGTTCTTTCTGAGTGATGCCTGTCAATTCTTTTGTGTTGGCTGACTCACAAAATGCCATTGCAGAGGGGAAAAAAAAAAAAAACCACACAAAAGAATTGTGAGTAATGATATTGATGGGAACTAAGAGCAAATAATGATGCTTGGAAAATAAAGCTGCACATTCAAATCCCCTTAGAAAAGTTTGGGGCAGGGCACAAGAAGTGGGTAACTTTTATAAGAGAGGGACACATTGTGTTCTTGTCTTTATTCCTGCAAAAATAACCTTTTCACCTGGAGTTATATCGACTGGGTGGCTGTTTAGAAACCATCAAATATCTCTGTGGTTTGAGTCCTTTTTTTTGTAATTATATTTTTCTTCCATCCATCCTCTTTTGTTTGTGCTGGGAAAGATGCCTCCTTTTGTTCTGATTTTTATCCCCTTCCCCACCCCCCAGAGAATTGTTATATCTGGTTTTATTTCCTCCTCTATTGTTTTCCTAAGATAATCTCCTTGTTTCCTTTCATTTTGTTGTTCTCTTTGCTTATTTAGACTCGTTGTTTGTGCCTTCCCTTACAAACCTGCCTTGATCTCGTTTTGCTCGAGAAGAATTGCTCCACTTTGAAGCTGCATCTAGTTCTGCTTAGATTTTTTTTTTTTTATTATTACCATGACAAATCCTTTTATTTAAGGGTATCTTGTTAAGGGAGCATCTTGTTATCTCTGTTCCTTCCTGTCCTCGGTGGGTTTGAGGTTTCTCTGCTGCCTTTGCTGATGAATATTGTTTTGTCCACTTCAAACATTAACTTGTGAAGGATGTGCCACTTCCCAGCTGTGGGTTTTCTCTCTAATTTTGTGTTTGATGTGGGTTTTTTTTTATCTCTGAATCACCTGCTGCTGGAATTTTGGTCATGCAGGGGTCGAAGGTTCACTCAGTGATGCAGTTCCACGTACAGGATGCTGAGTCAGTGCCTGGGAGGTGTTCACACAGTCATTTATGCTAATTACAGTTATTTGCACGAATTTTAGCCAAAAATCTGTTCTTTATATTTTCTTGACAATTTATTCACGAAATTGCCCTTTTTTAAAGCTGAAAACTTCCCTATTATGTCATTTTTTTCTCAAAATGATGTTCCTTTTTTAATACCTGCTTTTAAATTTTGTATTATAAGGCTGTTTTTAGTTCTCCAATTTTATTTGAATATTCCTGTATTCTCTTTCAGGGTGATCAAAGGTAACATTTAACAGAGAAAAAATATCAGGCCTCATTCATTTGCTAATTGCAAGTGATGAAGAGCCAGTTTAAAGGGGGTTAAATTGAGCATTTGCCAGTGGGAATCTCAGAATTTAAAACCTTCAGTATATTCATAGACATTATTTCTGGAGAAATTTTGAAAAGGTAAAAAAAAAAAAAAGGCATTTTTAAATTCTGAACTATTGCTAAATGGTGCCATTGGCTTTGTAACAAAAGGAAATTTTGGGAAGTGTGTTCTTGTTGGTGTTTTTATAGATAAATATCAGGTAAATAAAGGCACATATAAGTAAATTTTATATTGAGGTTATGCAGGGAACTACACTTAAATAGCTTTACTGGAAGTTCATTTGGCCATTCCCATTGCCTCTTGCAACGAAAATGAGCATGGACAACTTGGTCTCTCTGGTTTTAAAGGATAAAAGGGTTTTGAACTGACTCTAAAAGTGCTGGATATAATTCCCAATAATTTCTTTTAACTAATAAATGCACTGCATAAATCTCTGTCGGACCAGTGAGTGCCAAGTTGGGTTTACATGAAATAAAGACAGAAACTTGGGACTTTTATTAGAGGAGAAATCGAACCTTATTTCTGTAAGATGCTGGAAATCTCCTTGGATAACTCATGGGTCCCTTCAAACTCCTCAGTAGCTTTGGAAATAAAGCCTTTACTCACACCAGCACTTTTAAAGCTTTCATTATCCAGGTGAAAACAGGATTTAGGAAATTAATATTAATATTTTAATTGCTTTCGTGTCCAGTTTTCCCCTTTATGTTTAATACCAATTAAATATATATATAAATAAAATGATAGCAGCCTTTTGCTGCTGCCCCTTCTGCAGCTCTTGTTATTGGGGAAGAAGTTGCTGTACAAGGTTCTGTGGAAGTCTCTGCTCCTCCAGACCCAGTTCAGTTGGACTTAGAGCAGGAATCAAACCCATTTACTGGGTGAAGCTTTAGGATCAGTGTAAAATGCATTTGGGAACACGCTCAGCTGTAAATTCATAATGTGAGAGGTGTTCTTAAGTCATTTCTGGAGTGAATTCCACATTTCTTAGAGTAGGAATGTGACCATTCCTTACCTGTACAACCCTCAGAGGTCCAGCTAATTATTGCAGCCCATCAGAATCACTCTGATATTCTGTTAAAAAGCTCTAACTGGGGATGTGGTGCCGAAGCTGAGGGACATTAACAGGATGAAGTGTGGGGAAATGTGGAAATGGGCCTCCCTGGCTGATCAGGTTGGTAGTGGGGGCAAAACCTCATTTTCCATCCATCCTTCCTGTCCTGGTTTGACTGGGAGAGGTTGGGGCTGCCAAGGGGTTGGGTTGGTGCTTTAGCACAGCCTGTTCAGCCCCTCTTTGTGGCTGCAAAATGTTTAATCCTTTGAACTCTCCCCCATCCCGTTGGTTGTACATCTGCTCTCAGTCCCGTGTCCCTGCCAGTGTCTTTGTAAAGGGACATTAAATTGCCAGCATTTTTATTTCATTTATGATTTCTCTTTCAGGTCATAGCCTATGAGACTGCAAGTGGGGCTCTGACAGCCCAAGGAGGAGATGGAGTCTGTCAGCAGTGAAAAGGGTTTTCTCTTCCAGCTGACAGGTAAAGGGTCCATTCAGTCTGGCAGTCCCCTCAGAAAAAAACCACTAATTAACACTTGTCATCTGCCACAGTCACAGGTAATTCCCACTCTGGAATTACCCATGGAATTACCCTGGAATTACCCAGGTCTTTGCATGGATTCCCGTTATTCCTTTGACAACTGGACCATGAAATCTAATTTTGCCAGGACGGAAAACGGTATCAGTGTTTGTGCCAGGTTTTGAAATGCATCACAATGAGCAGGGAAGTGTCTGCAGAGCTCTGGGAGCACAGAAGTGCTTCTCCCAGGACGAGGGGCATTGCTCTGACAAGCTGCAACAAGTAATTAATTACAAACAGCAAATTGGTCTCACGGGGCAAGCTTGGAGGTCATAAAAAAAAAGCAAAAGAGAACCCAAACAACTTGTTGATGGTTAACTGCAGTGAGGTAATTAATGAGAGAATGCACAGAGACAGCAGAGAACAGTGCCTGACTTTCATCATGTAAAATATTTATGATTAATGAAGTTATAGTGTTGTGAATGCACACTGAGCAATCCCTCTGTGACAAGTGGTCACTGGCTGAGGAACAGTCACAGTACCATGGAATATCCTGAGTAGAAAGGGCCCCACAAGCATCATCAATCCAGCTCCTGACCCTACACAGGACACCCCAATAATCCTACTAGGTGCCTGAGAACGCTGTGAAACTGCTTGTTTGTTCTGAAATGGGAATAAATTAAGAAGTTTTATGCACTCCTGGCACCAACAGTGACATAGTAATTCAAGTAGTAATTCAAGAAAAATACTTCCCATTGGCAAGGAGATGAGAATCATCTGTCTAAACCCACATATTTAGTATATTCTTTCCTGGGACACCACAAACAGAACATGAAAAGGGTTTTCTCTTCCAGCTGACAGGTAAAGGGTCCATTCAGTCTGACAGTCCCCTCAGATAAAAACCATTAATTACCACTTGTAATCTGCCACACTCACAGGTAATTCCCACTTTGGCAGGTCTTTGCAAACGTCCAAGCAATTACTGAGACAATTTGCACCCACTGGAGGGGATGTAATTCCTGCCCTTTGACATTTTTTTCTTATCTTTTGAATAATTTTGCTTGTAGATAGGAATGGGAAGGGGGGAAGTAAGGAAAGTGCATGCAAACAATAAATATGTCTCTTCAGTAGTCATGAACTGACATTTTACAGATGCAGAGTTCTACCCCGTGTGTGCTTTGAGGTGAAGGAACATCCTCGTAGCTCACAGAGGAAACCACAAATCCATGGCATCTTCATTAAGGTTATGCTCAAACATTTTTTCTACCCCCATCCCTTCTCCTCCTTTCCATCTTAGATATCAACCATTTCCTCCACCACAGGGCTTCGCTCTTCCTTCCCTGGTTGATTATTTCCACAACTTTCACCTTTCCCCGGCACTAACTCTGTCATATTCCATAAAATAGCAATTTTCCACTTTATGTTGGAGCATTTGTTGGTGCTGAGGCTGTAGTACCACACATCCCCTGTGCCTGCCAGTCACCAGCACTCCGTGCCTGCCTTGATTGATGTTCCTATATCTCTTGGAATTTGTCCTATCTCGCTCCCCCCTCTCTCCCCTTCTTTTTCAGGAGCTGCTGCTCTCCCATAAAACCAGTTTATATATCAATCAATGTTAGATGGGAATTTAGTGGTAACATCTGTGAGAAGTGCTCTGGTGTTCAGGGAGTGGATAAAACTGCAGGAAAGTTTGGTGCTTCCTAAAGTCCCTAAATACTCATCCTATAAAACAAGATTTACAGTGTTGTATCCACGGCACGGAAGTGCTCAACTTACTCCATAATATTCTTGGAAGGCTTTGCCTTGTCTGCCCAGCTTGGATTTGTGAGTGTGTTCGTGTGTGTTAAACTTCTTTTTGCAGCTGTTTTTAGCTTTTTTTATCCGATTTTATTGTGCTGTAAACTTTTGGTGGAAAGCTGGGTAATTTCCCTCACCACAACGTGGTAAAAAACTTGTGGCTATAAAGTAAAAAATATATATATATATATAGTGTTGTATTTGCCTCCAGCCTTGTTTCATTTTGCCTCTGCCTCTGTGGCCTTGAAGGTGATGCTCATTTTGCAGAGGTGGCTTTTTAATTAAACTTCTTTTCTTTGTCAAACTCAGCTCTCAAGGATTTTCAGCTTCCGCTGGCTCAGAGCAGAAAAAGATTTTACTGAAAATCATAATGTTCTGAAATTTCAGAATGACTTACTAAGTACAGGATGCAAGTTTTTTAAAATATATTTCAGAAATTCACCCAAAACTCTGAATATTTTCGAGAGATAATTAAGCTCAGCCTTAATGTTAAAGCAACTGGGTGAGAAGGAACAAACAGAAGGGACTTTTCCAAACTCCTGGCTCGGCTGAAATATAAAATTGACTCTTTTAAAACACTGAAAGTTGAAAAGGGCAGAAGAACCCACAGAGGAATAGCAGGAAAATTGTCTTATCCTCCATTTCATGTTTATTTTATGTGAGCTTTCTGTATCTGAATAAATTATATGGACTTTTACATCCTAAATGGCAGGACATGGATGATCAGTTCCTGACTGCCTTTCAAATGTCCCAGTTTTTTCCTCCAGGTTTTGAGGATTTAACCTTGGAAGTGTCCATGAGAGGCCAAGGAAAATAATGAATTAACTTAGATCTTGGTGAGTGGGCACTAATCAAACTTCATGAAAAAATCCTGGTGATTTTTTATTTTTTTTTTTTACCTCAAAAATTTGGACTTTTTGGGAATAACATCACTCAAAGTGTCAACTCATGATGATAATGATGATGATTATTATTTTCCTGAGCAGGGAATCTGCTCCATTCAGAAGATAAGGATTAAATTCTCTGTACAATAGATTTCCCTGCAATTTTTGCCTTTTCAGCTCAAAGTTTTCAAACAAACTTCAGGTAAAATGGGGAATATTGGTGAGGAATGTGGTGTCAGCCTAAAAGAATGAGGTAGTGACACATTTAAGTCAAGCAAGAACTTGGCCTGGAAATGTAATTAATGTCTTTTTCATTGAGTGAATAATAATGAAAGAAAGGGTAAAAAATACCTAAATACTGGAATACTTGAAAAAGGAAAAAAAAAGAAAGGAATTAAAGAAGAAAATACCATCACCACCAAAAAAATTCTGAGCAATCTGTAGGTAATATTTAGAGGCTACTTGCAATGTGAAACATAGAAAAGGATGATTCTGCATTTAATATTAAACCATAATAATTTCAAATTATTCACAGAAAATATTAATGTGTGATTCAGTTTTCCTTAAATATCCACTTTAATTGATTATGAAAAACAAAACAAACAAATCTTTGAGCAGTTTTTATGTAACAAATGCATGTTTTGAACACTTAAAAGCTGTTTTTCCTCTTTTTTTATTCTGCTTCATTTGTGTATCCAGCCAAGTTTCCAGGTGTGTGGGGCAACACAGAGATGGGTAAAGAAAATTATTGATTACAAAGCTACCAAAAGACAGAACAAGTTAGGAATGAAGTGATCATTTTTGTACACAGGGAAAGTTTCTCAGGGGAGAACCTCCAGTTCTGTTCCAGGGTGACTGGATTTAAATGTGTTTTTAATGAGCTCGGGGAAAGTGCTGAACAACAGGAGCAAAAATAGGCAGATTTGATGAAATTATTCAGATTTATTTGGCCAAACAAGAAAAGATGTTGGAGGGATCTACAGGAACTAGGAGGATAAAAGATAAAATATGTAGGTGCATTATTAAGGTTAAAAAATAGTTAATGAGTGTGGAAAGGGAAAAAAAAATATTTGATGGCTCTGGGTACAAAACCCAACAAGGATTTTTGCCTGTTTTAGTGCTGCTCAGAAAAACAAACCAAGGATTTCAGTAGTTTTGAATTCCAGGAAGGAAATAATACTTCAATTATTATGGGAGAACTTGTGAGTTCAAGATTGGAGTTGTTTGAATCAGAAACAAGGAAGGAAGAGGATTTTAGTATATCTGTGGTACAAAGAAAGGAAGTTGCTCAAACTTGTGTTTCATATTTCAGGAGTCCAGGGAGAGCTGAGCTGGATTAGGATTGATTTAGGATGGACTCGTGCTGCAGCAATGGGAATGGAACAGATTTAGGTTGGAATCAGACCTGGAATTCTGGGGTCTAAAACCAACCCTTGAATCTAGAAGCACCAAATATCCTTGGAGTCACAGCCAGTCAGGGAAAAGCTCCTTTTTTCTCAGTTTTTTGGCCTCAAATGCCTTGTTCTAATATCCTCACTTGAGCAAGTGGCTTCCACCTGCACACCAGAGATTTTTGGAATATTGTCCATAAAATCACAGGAGGTTGGAAAAGACCCCTAAGGTTGAGCCCAACCATTAACCCAGCCCAAGGTCACCACTAACCCACGTCCCCCAGTGCCACATCCACCTGTTCTCTGATCTCCTCCAGGGATGGTGATTCCACTGCTCCAGTGCCTGACCAACCTTTCCAGGAAGACATTTTTCCTGATATCCAACCTAAACTTCCTCTGGAGCAACCTGAGAAACAGCTGGAAGAACACTGGATCAAGGCTCTCCAGGAAGACACGTGGATATATCTGATGCAGGTATTTATCTATTTCTTATCTAACTTTACATTATGTTTTTCCAAAAAAAAAAAAACCAAAAAAAAAAACCAACCTTTTTTTTGATGGTAAAGCAAAGAAACCACATTTCTTGAGGTGCTACAGCTATTCCTGCTCTTTAATCCAGGGATGGCAATCGATCTTGTGGTGGGATTGCTCCTCTAGTGAGCTGGTAATAATGGATAAAGAGATAATGGATAAAGAGATGCTGTGATTCCTGAGGATTTCCTAACAACTTTTGTGATCACTTGTTCCATGTGTTCTTGTTTACCTGATTTCTACACTTCACAACCAACAAGACCCATGTCTTGGTATTTTCCTGGCTACTTTCTGCTGTTTCAGAGCTGTAATTTCTCCTGGTGTACTTAAAAAAATCGGCTTTTTCAAAAGCCATTCCTTGAAGTGAGAGGTGAGAAGTTGCTGTTTAAGAGCAGGTTTAAATTCCAAGTGAAAAATGCTTTACTGGTGTACAGCAACCCGAGAACTTGCAATACCTTCAGCTGCTATTTCAGTCTGTTCTCAGAGACTTTAGGCTTCATCCTGGAACATCCCTGGAGATTTGGGAAAGCAAATATAGCAAATGCCAGTCTGCTCTTTATAAATGTAGACTGGAAATGTGTTTCAAATCCAAAGGTTAAGCTGGCAGTATCAGGAAAAGCTCCATTTAACACACTCTGGGTGATTTTTTTTTTCAATGACAGCTCTTGATCAGATCATTTCACTATTAATTTTGACTGGGTTGGGTGAGTATTCTTTAATTTCAGTGAAAACTCTGTGTGGTTTTACACATTCCATGACATCTTTCCCAAGGGTTGCAGGTATTATAAACACCTGATTTCTTCTTGGATAGTTTAGTGGCTTTATTAGTTCAGAATCAGCTGATTGTAGAACAAGGCAAAGGGAATAAATACACACTCCAGTTTTTGCCACTGATTATACTCTCCTTGGCCTCTTGTCATCCTATTTCTCACCCATCAAATTTCAAGGACTTTAAAGCAATATGTTAAAACCCATGCAAATATGCGTAGAATTGTTCCGTGTTCCAGCAGATCCCTTTGGAAGATGAATCCACATGCAGAGCTCTGAATGTGGGCATTAAATCACTAGGTCCATATTGAGTTATGCAGTAAATTTGAGTCTTCCATCACCTTGGAGGATTTCAAAACTTACTGCAAACAATGAAATAATCACCATGAGTGGAGTTTCACGTGCCCCTTGCCCATCCCATCACTCAGATGGGAGTGAAAGCAGGACACAAAGAACTGATGGTCTTTACCCTTGAGCTGCCTTTGCAAAGGGATTAATCTGATTTCTTTCATTAGATCTCTGAGTTCCACTCAAAGACATCCCGTGTTTGGAGAGGAATGTAAATCTGTGGAATAAATCTCATTCTGGTGTCTCCTCCCAGCAAAATCAACTCCCCAAGTTATATTTAGCAGAGGCAGATGCTGCTGAAGTAGGGAAACAAATCTGTCTGGGCTTTCAGTGGGGCTTGGTAATGATGAAAACCGATGCCTTGAATGCATTTTTGTTTTTGGTTTTGTGCTCTCTGGCTTTATAAACCCTTGAAAATTGCTATAAATACAGCTGGGCACAATGCAGCATAACCAGAGGAAAGCATCAAACTGTCCTCTGTATTTTACAGTTCTGTACATTTCATTGAAATGCTTGTTTAAAATATGGATTGCTCCTTGCATTTCTGTGATCTCCCAAACATGACAGACAGAAGAACAAGGGACTGTGAGGGATTGTCATTCAGATCTGCAGTGTCACCAGTCTGAGAGAGAGGAGCCCAACGGGGTGAAAACAAACCTTCAGCTGCATAAAAAGAAGTAACGGAGTGAAGACAAATATTCAGCAGCATAAAAAGGAGTGTTTTGACCCCTTCATGTGTCAGTCATTCCTACTGTCCGTGGTACAGGAACACACCTGACAAAAAGGCTGAGTTTTACTGTTCCTTTCAGGTGCCCCTAAATAACCCTTGTTGTTACAGCTGCCAAGACTCACCTGATAAAACATGTTTGGGCTCTGTTAATCATCCTTTCTCTGGAGTCAGAGAAGTGAGGAGACAGTTCATCTTTTCTGAAGGGGAGAGAATAGAATTTAAAGCCTCTGAGTGTGTTGTGGGGTTGGGAAGCTGTTCCACACCCCGTTTGTGTGATATCCCAAATTACGGCATCACAGAATATGCTGAGTTGGAAGGGACCCAAAAAGGTCATGGAATAAGGGACAGATATTCTGGAATAATTGATAAACTGGGCAGTCTTCTGGAATTAAATGGGACATTCAGTCTAGAAAATAAAGGATATAACCCCCTCTGGACATGTAAGCCTATGGCTTGATCTTAAAGATTAAGGAGTTTCTTGCCTTCCGTGGGCAGAGCTGTCCTGAGGCCCCACTGAACACAGGGATTTTGAATACAGGCACAAATGAAAAATGTATTCAAATTATGGATTAAAACTTCCTCCCCCCATCTCCATCGAGGTTCCCTTTTGTCTCTCTGCTTATTTCCTGAAATTTAAATAAAATTCCGTGTCCTGGTCTGTGGGACAACTTGCCCTTTGAGGCCACTTCTCCTTGGTGGTTTTGACGTTCAAGGCAAGAACTGGACCTTTCTGAGGATTAAACACATCAACTGAATTAGATAAAGGTTTTATTAATCCTCTCAGGCAGGTTTCAGGAGCCCCTTCAATTGGCAGAAGAGATGAGGAGGAACAAGCTTTACCTGCAGGTGCAATTTCTGTGATTGGGATGAAGGAGGAAATAAATGACAACCTCTGCTTGTCCTCTGGCAGCACCAGCAAGAAGTGTTTGCATTTCCTCCATCAGGAAAGATTCAGGAGAAGGATATTTATTAAATAATATCAACTTATCCCATAAAACCTTTTATTTTCCTTGAGAAATTTCTTTATTTCTCACTTTAGCAATTGGATTATCTAATGCTGGAGCTGGTTTTCCTAGAAAATACAGTTGATATTTATTATGGATTTTAAATTGCATGTGCTGTTATTTCTCCAGATTTCCCTCCTGGCCCCCTGCCTTTTTTTTTGATTCCACATGTCTTTGTGTAATCTTCAAAAAACATCCCCAAAACAATAATTCTGTAGGTAAGTGATGACAGTTATAAAAAAATGACTTTGCTTTGGTTCCTGTCAATCCAGGAACACGTTGGATGGCTGACACCACCCTTAGATGTGTAGCTGGAATGGTGACATCCACATGGATTCTCCAAACCTTTAACCCACAAACTGATTTCTCCTGTGGTGATTCCCAGTCATTTAAAACACACTTAGATGGGTTTAATTGTTTTCGGTTAAGAGCTGAAGTTATAAACTCTTCTGACGCAAAATTTAATTTCATATTTTTGCTGAAAATGGCTTTTTTAAAAAAAAAATGTCCCCAAAAATTATAATTAGATCCTACAAATGGCCTGAGAAAGGGACAGCCCTGTGCTGGATAAAAAAATGAGGGGGAAAATCATTGGCCAAGCACAAATCAGTGTCCCAGGGGCTCGTGTTGGACTCACAGTGTCGTTCACAGCGACGTGTCCACTTTTCTCCCTGTCAAAGTTGCTACTGAGAGTATTTTAATCCTTTCTCCTCTGATCCCTGGGCACACACAAAGAGATTACTGCAGTCCTTTAAAAGACAGCTTTTCCTCTCACTTCCACGTGTTTTCTTTCCACTCTCATGTAAAAAAACCTACTATATTTTAGCAGGGATCAGACCAGTTTGGAAACACTCCATGGAATTCCCTTCCCTGAGCAAAGGGAGCTGTTTGAAACAGCTGATGCTTTGATCTGACTTGCAGATGAGAGAGGGATAAACAGGCATTTCCCAGCATTTTGTCCACATTCTTACTTGCAAGAATAAGGCATTGTGTGTAAACAGTGGATCTACTGCTTAGTGGATTATATTTGCATAAATAACAGAGAAAAATGACTGTTTATCTGGTTTCCTCCTCCCCTGCTTCCACAAACCCACACTGAATCTCAGTGCATGCCTGATTTAAAAAAAATCAATAAATGTAATGGAGCAATTAAAATAATTAGAGTTATTGTTTTAAATAGGAGAAACACTTGTGAATATTGCCCAGGTATCCATAAATAACAATATTAAGTGAAGAATGGCCTGTTTTCCTGTATAATGCTCTGTTTGTTGTCCTGTATCTGTTGTTATAAATCATGCAGGATGTTCCTCCAGCTCCTCAGATACTCAGAAGCAGCTTTTGCCAGGTCAGGAGTTCAGGAATGTGCTGTTTGCCCAAAACATCTGGTTTACATGCTCACCTTCACCCCAGGTGAGCGATGGCACAGGGAAAACATCATTATATTTGGAACTGTGCTTGGTTATTTGTACAGGAGCCGTGGCCTTATTGAAAAAACATGAATATTGCCAACTGCAGGCAGTTGGAAGGGATGGAATGGCAAAAAAAAAAAAAAGTGTGGAAACAAAAACTTAAAGAATGAATTCCAATGACTTTCTTTTGTGCAGGAGGCAGAGGAAGGCGAGGGATGGAGTGCAAAGGCTGAGACTTGCAGTGGAATAATCTGAGAGGCTGTAAAAGCAGAATTTGAAGGAAGGGAAAGGAAGGGAAGGACTTCTGTTGCAGAAACTTGTGGAAAATGGGGATATTTCAGCACAGGCACTCGTAGAAAAGAGAAATGTTTGCAGAGGGAAGGGGCAGATGGAACATTTCCAGCATGGTGGTGTGACAGGAGGAGATGTGAAGCTGCTGCCCCCATGGAGTGCATCCATGGTGCTCCATGGCCATGGGCAGTGGGAATCACTTGTAGGGAAGGGATTATGGTGGGAGTAAGGCCAAAGGTTTGAACTCTGAGAAACCTACCTTAAAATGCATAAGTTTGTCTTTTGAGGACAGTTATTTCCCCCAGATTTCTCTTGTCTCCAATGTGAGCTGCTCTGCAGGAAGAGGTCGGGCATTGTTATATTGCAGTGGAACAGAAGAGCTGCCACGTGTCAAAAAAGGTATTTTGGTTCCCTTTTATGTTCACAGCAATGGCAATTTGGCCTTTTTGAGTTGGTGTGGCTGTTCAAGCTGATGTAGGGCTGGGAATGTTGCTCTGACCCCCCCACATACACACCCCAAATCAGGTTTCTTGGAAGTTTGCTATTCCCTGCATGTGTTGTATTAGCCGTGTCCAAAACCTTCCCCATATTTATATTCCTTTGTTCTGGTTTGTGTTGCCTCTGTGAGGCTTCTGTCACACAAGAGACCTGGCTCTGGGATGTCCAGGAAAACCTCTTTCATCTTGACTTGGGGAGAAAAGGATGGAAAAGAGCAGCAGGGCAGGAAGAAGCTTTGATTCAAAGCAAAGGTGAGGCTTCGCTTCCTAGTTGCTGAAATAATTAATTGCATTTATCTTTACAATCAGACCTTCAAATTTCATTTTGGCTGGAGCAAAACAACCCAGACTATCAGTACATGTTATCTTTTAAGTCTCATTTCTTGACATCCTTGTATGTATTTATTCATTTCCTGTGATTTCACGACACAGCAGAGCAATGGAAAAAGTGCTCTTAATGGCAGCTTTCATTGAGCTTAATGTCTTTGTACTAAATTCAATTTAGGATTTACAACACTTTCAGCATTTTGCAACTAGGCTCTCATATTGTAGCAAACCTGTCCTTTTGGTAATACAGGTATTTCCCTTGTTAGCTCGAGCCTGTGGCTTTTATGTTTTGATGTAATGATTTGGTCTAAAGGCCAAAAATGCTGTTTTCAGGTTCCCCTTCAGTTGCTGACTGAGGAATAAATTTACTGGTGTGCAAAATGTAAAACAAGAATGTAATAGAAAAGGTTTGAATTCTCAGGAGGGGAGAAATGTGGCATTGCAGCCTTGTGCCTGATTTTCACAGGTCTCAGATGATCTGTGGCAAACTCTAAATGGGGATAATGCAGAAAATGGGCACTTGGATTCTTTTTGTTCCAAGTTTCTCAGGTTGTAAAATCCAAACTGCTTTTTACACAATATTTGTGCCAGTCTCTGACTCGATATAAGCAAGGAATGGGAGGAAATGGGATCACCCAGGTTCAAACAGGAGGCTCTGCTGAAGTTCCCAATTATTAAATGAACACAAAGATATAGGAAGAATATCTTGAAATCTGCAGTGTATCCATTACATGTACCATAGAGTATTTCCTTCAATATTCCAACTGCACCTTTCAGGAGTTGACTTGAAGATGACAATTCATCTACAAAATTTAGGGGAAAAAATCAGAAGAAGATAAACCAGGAGAAGTTTATAATTTGGCAAAGAGGAAAAGATCAGGTTTAAAAATAATAAATCCCACTTTTCCCCCATTTCCCACCCCCCCAAATATCACTTACTCTTCAATAAACAAAAACTAGACTAGGAAAGCCTGTTTGCCTAGTGAATAAGTTCAGTATTAAAGTGTAATTGTGCTTTAAATTAATTTTTATTCCATGGTTGGAAAAATCTTGTGGACTGATTCTCATGGGAATTTTCTCAGAGTTCCAGTCTCCAGGATCCTTTATCATGGATTTCTCTCCACTCTTCAGCAGCAGTTGGGTTGCAGTGAGTCAATGTGTTCACAGTTGGATGGGTGTGGGCAGCAGGAATTGCAGGAACTGGGATGTGGGACGGACAGACTGGATGTGACAACACACACATCAAAACCAGGGCTGGGAAGGGACTACAGAACTTCACAGTTGCTCCTCGTAGACCAAAACACAGATTTTACACCAAACTTCACAAATGTACCAGCTGGCACATCGCTGCAGAAACAAAGATTCCCACCAGGACAGGTTTAATTTGGAATTAGGAAAAACTTCTTCCT